CCCCTCTTCTTTGCGTATAAAACGTTGCTAACAGTTGGGTTTTAATCATTTGGATTGCAGCGAGCCATCTACTCTCTTAATATGTCCGCAACCATTTTGAAGATTAAAATTGCCTTTCCGAACTATACTCACTTTCAAACTAGGCTAAATTCTTTTGAAAAAAGTTTACATAACTCTGTCGTAAACAATTCCAAATGGGAATTATCCGAAGCAGGGTTTTTTTACACTGGGAAGAATGATGAAACTATATGTTACTACTGTGGAGGAGGATTAAAGGATTGGCAAGAAGAAGATGATCCGTGGCAAGAACATGCACGATGGTTTCCAAGATGCCCCTTTGTGGTTGTTAACAAGGGGCAAGACTTTGTGAACAAATATTCCAAGCGAATAAATAAAAATGTGATAGTTAAAAAGAGAAGCTCAACCAAAGGCGTAGGAACAAACGAACCTGTGCAAAAACAAGGATCGGAGTGCATAGTATGTTTGTCCGCAGAGAGGGAAATTGTGTTTTTACCTTGCAAACATTTTTGCAGCTGCATCATGTGCGGCCTAAGTGTTGACAATTGCGTTTATTGTAGAACCCCTATTATTTCTGTGATGAAAATATTTATGGTGTAATACGAGGCCCTTTAAAAAGATTAGTGGTGGGGGTAGCTAGGAGGGGGGGGGGATGGACTTTACCTATAAATACAAGAAGATAGTCCTATGCCTTCAATCGTTCTGCAGACTTCCTAGAGGCAACTACAGCTCAATACAACAATTATGTCTCTCAAGGTGAAGTTTGTCCAGTACGACGATGTTCAACTTTCAACCTACCATGATATAGATGTTTTTGCTGAAGAGTTGAGAGTTCTACTTGCAAGTGGGTATGCAGTTACAGTAACAACAACAGCCAACAGCACTCTGCTTCCAGACTACGGAGCTTACAAACCACCATGCCCCAATCGAAGAAAATTTGAAACCGACCATTCAGCATTCAACATATATGGAAGCAGCAGCTCTACGACGAAGAACGATTCCAACACTTCTTAGATTTAACTTAGATTTAACTACTTTACATTATTATTACTATTGTTGATTGTAAAAAAAATAAATGAATAAATAAAAAATATTCTGCACTATTTATCCATTAGTGCAGAATATTTTTTAAAAACAGATTCAGATGACCTTGACCTAATAACAATACCAACCAATCCACAACATACATCGCCAGAGTCGCTGCGTAATTCACGCTGCTCCACAATCACAAAATACTTACCAATTACCTAATTATGACGTCACGGGATCACCCCCGTGTTTTATACTACTCATATAGTATAGTTCTTGAATTTAATACATTTTTGAAATGCAAAAAAAGAACTAAAAAAAGACGGTGACTTACCAACTCAACATTCACATACTGGAATTTTTTATTCATATACAATAATTTGATAAACTCTAAATGTTTGAGTCCTTATTTGTAACGGGCTTATCTTTTTTAGTTTAAGTATCAGTGTTTTAGCGAATTTCCCATATAGGGAATAAGCTATTACCGTAGATCTCATGGTAAGACCTAGACCCGGGACCGATTTACTTTTTCGTTTTGAGGTCCCCAGAGACCAAAAACACCATCCGTTCAAATTCATATATATATATATTTATATATATGTATATATTTATATATATATATATATTTATATATATATATTTGTTTATATGTGTGTCCGGTAGTGCGATAACTCAAGCAAAAATGATCCGATTTTGATGAAATTTGGTACAAACGTGTAAACCTACGTTTATTCAAACGAGTTCGCGAACCAGCATAATCGGACCATGGGAACAGGGGTTTATGGGGGGTTTTATGGGGTAAAAATGGGGTTTTCCCATTTTCCCCCTAAAAACAAAAATTTTTGCAATTTCTTTCTCAACCATTTTGTAGAGCTTAAAAAAAGAAATAATTTAGTATATTGAAGCGCTGTTGTATGCCTAACGGTCACGGAGAAAATAAAGAAATGCGTAATTTAAAATTCCCATCTTATTCTTATGGAGAAAATGAAAAATGTTGTAGTTTACTTGTTTATGGATATATGTTGATAAAATTTGGCAAATTTATTTATTCCATCCTATACTATTGACATATGGTCAAAAAACACTTTTTACCTTCCCCGGAGCAGCAAACCTAAGCACTTGTTAAATCTAATGTTATTTAAATTGGGAATAAATATGTCTTATTTATGGAAATATTTTAGTAAAAATGTAATCAGACAAGTTGAAATTCGCTTAGTCTGCAGGTTTGCTGCGGCGGGGGTATTTATATATTTTTGTTTGGGTGACTTCTCAAAAAAAAAGTAAGTTCTGTGTGTATTGTACGCAGTAAATAATCATGATTCTGGTTCTAATTCTAATTCAATATTAATTTTTAGATGAAACCATAAGGATCCCCTTAAGCTCTAAAATATGCAATTATCATTAATGAGATTTCAATATTGACGGGTGATCTCACTAGTGTTAAATACACAATCCGTGCTGATGACAAGTCCCAGGGTTGCGTCAGAGATTCTCCCCGAGCGGATGGGGAGGCTACATGGATAATTTGAGAAAATTAATATTACATTACACTGTCAGAGCGGTAACTTGCCACTTGCCAGGGAGTAACATTGAAGGTCACCGTGTCAAACTAACGTTTGGCTAACGTTCGACTAATTGTCCATTAAAAGTCAATTTGCAATTTATTTGTGGTCCAGGTTCTTCAAGTGTGCTAAATACTAAATCAAGAATTGTTTGTAATTTTTCACCAATAGTTAAGAAAATAAAAATAATTGATTTATTTTTGTGCTGTGTAATTTCTTCTACTTAATCCATGCACATATGCATAATGTGAACCAAAAGTAAAACCTCGTAAATATTGTAGTTTTAAATGATTTATTTTCATTTATATTATTTAATAAATCGTAAATATGGTTATAGTTTTAAAAGTTACTCTTTACTAAAGAATGTTTTGTTGTATATGAGAACAAAAACACTATAGTCTTCATACTTACAAAACATTATTCATTGATCTGCCAAATAGTATTTGTTGTACGGTTTTCATAATAATATTCGTTAAAATAATCAATATTACTTATTATTGACATCGTGGTATTCCTACTGCATTGTCTAAACATATTTTAATGGGAAACTACAAAGTAACCGGATTAAACATCCCGCAATGTTTAGAGTCGTTGTTTTGATAACAACAGTTTTCTTAAACAAAGATGGATAATGCTTTCAATATTGCTCATTGCCATTAAAATATTTAGTTGAAATTTAAAACTGTCTAATGCAATGGGTTCCTTTGTATGACGGTTAAAACCTCAATTGACGTGCTCACGCGAATTAGTAAACTGTTTTGAAGCTCTTAACGGTGTCAAGGAATCAATCTTGTACACTTTTTAGGCTTTTATCATCATTATGTAAAGACATTGTTGATTATAGTATATATTATTTAATTAATCCATAATTTAAGGCTATTGTTTTGAAGAGTTTGTTGGTCGGATTGTGTGGTAGTAGAGCTTGAAGATATTATAAGAACAATGTTATGTATACTAATAGTAGGGGTTATGAATACTTTAACGATACTAATAACGTACATAACAGTTGTAATATAATAGGGGATTTAACTTTTTGCTTGGCTTAGCCATTAAGATTATAGTTCAATTAACCTAATCACCAAGAACCGCTGATGAATTCAAACTTCTTAGAGAGAATCAACTCTGCTCTTAACGATATCAGGATATCGTTTTGATACTTTTGAAACCAATACTGATTCTAATTATAAAGTAGGAATACGTACAGAAAAAAAAACATCGCCTGAGAATAAATATAAAAATAAAACTAAACATATTGGCATGCATCATTTATCTTAAAGGACATATTGTAATGAGAAATTGAAAAACAAACAGTGATAATCCAACTCATATGTTTATTACACAAACATCAATTTAAAAACTAAGCTATAAACCATTGTCAGCATCAGGTTATTCAAACTAGAATTTCTCGGACCAACGTATTTTAACCTTTTCAAATAAGTTTAAAAATTGTTTCCGTCTTGTATACAAAATCAACGAAGAGCTGTCATAAGAATATTTAACTATTCTATTTGTTTGAAGAAAGTTTATACAACAATATGACTATAGCGATTAAAACATGTTTACAATGCGCTATGTTCTTTAGGTATTTGCATAACATAGACTGTGTTATGCAAATACCTAAAGACAAGGGGGAGCGCCTGGTTAGAGCACGGGACCTCGGGCTCTGAGGTTCAGGTTCAATTACCACCAAATCCCCAATGATCTTTTTCTAAGTGATAATGCCACAACCCCAAGGTCTTGCCTAAGGTAATGTGAAAAACAATCCCGGGATCATGTCTACCATCCTAAAAGAAAAAAAAACACTATTTAATTTAGTGGTGTGGTGAAGAATCACACTAGGCGTATGCGACTACTGTACATGGGGATGACTTACATTTACTAAGGCGTATGCGTACATGGGGATGACTTACATTTACTAAGGCGTATGCGTACATGGGGATGACTTACATTTACTAAGGCGTATGCGTACATGGGGATGACTTACATTTACTAAGGCGTATGCGTACATGGGGATGACTTACATTTACTAAGGCGTATGCGTACATGGGGATGACTTACATTTACTAAGGCGCATGCGTACATGGGGATGACTTACATTTACTAAGGCGCATGCGTACATGGGGATGACTTACATTTACTAAGGTGTATGCGTACATGGGGATGACTTACATTTACTAAGGCGTATGCGTACATGGGGATGACTTACATTTACTAAGGTGTATGCGTACATGGGGATGACTTACATTTACTAAGACGTATGCGTACATGGGGATGACTTACATTTACTAAGGCGTATGCGTACATGGGGATGACTTACATTTACTAAGACGTATGCGTACATGGGGATGACTTACATTTACTAAGGCGTATGCGTACATGGGGATGACTTACATTTACTAAGGCGGTGGTTGGAAGCAGGTTCCTCCACGAATGGTTGTGGATTGGTCAGGTCCTCGAAGTTGATGATGTAAAGACAAATATCATCCACTTCGCTCTTGACAGGAGCTATCACCTCGCTACATAGGAACTTGGTACCTGAAAAATACAATGGTTTGGTGATCAATTGAGTCTTTATTTGTGCACAAACTCTGTCAACTAGTTTAAATGATATGGAGTAATCCTTGGTTAATATGGTGAATGGTTCAGATTCTTGGGTTAAACTTATAAGGTCTGAAAATGTCTTCATTACTTCATATTTTGAAGGGTATTGACGAAACCTATAACGGACGCAAATGTCGTACGAGCACGGGCCATATGAACATTAATTATAGAAAAAAAGTACCAAAAAAGCACGAAAAAAACGAAAAACAAAAAACTTACTTTGGTGCTGTCACGTCACTCTATTAACGTAGAATGTTATTCCGTTTTTTAACCATGGTCTTTTATAACCAATACTCAAATCCTATTTGTTAGTTTTATTGTAATTGTATTATATTTTTTGAAAACTTCAAACGGACTGTTTATTTCTGACTCTTAGTTGGCCAGAACACAGACGCCCAAAACCTAGGAAAAATTCGAAACTAGTTGCCACCATGGCATATAATTTTTACTGGTATTTAAGACATGCTGGACGTAAAACAGTAATCTAGATGCTAACCAACTTTTTTTATGCATACAATTTTCTATTTCAAGATTATTTTGTTTCCTGTACTAACGAATACTTGATGTTTTTCCGTCACAAAAAGAATTTACCAAGACTTATTTCAATAATTTCTGCTGGTCAGTAAGGTTGAGGTAGTTTTGAGTCGCTATCGTCTTAGCTGGTTTTATTTTGTTTGACTAAGGCTCTTAGGACTTCGGTATTTTGCGTTCAAAACATATTATGCTATAGTAAAATAAATTTTAATCCCTTAAAGGCCACATTTGAGTCATGATGACGTAATTTAAATTTTCAACGTAAATCGAGCGTTTTATCATGAATGAAAATTACGGTCCTTAATATGATGGCCATAATTTAAAAACACCAAGTTTTTAAATTTTATTTAGTACGAATTGACAAAAAGGTTGTATTTACGATGCTAAATTATTTCTCTGTAATTTGTAAAACAAATAAATGCGATTACACTGATTAAATAAAAAGGAAATATTTATTAGACTGTATGGGTTAATATAAGCGATTTACACTAAGCAATAGGATTATCACCAAGCTTCATTGTTTTCGATTGGGTGCGATCTGAAATGGCCAGTCAGGCACAATAAAGTTAGATGGAACCCAAGATAATTTGCTTTAAGTAGTTCTTGGCAAGTTCCACAATGGCAGGTGTCCAATGGCCCGACCATAATTTGATTTGTTGTTTGGAAACACCCAGGTTCATGTGCAGTGGAATTAATTGATTCGTCGCATACTATTAGCCTATTATTATGTAAAATCTGTGTTGTCCATCGATTGTGTGGAACTAACCAGTCAAAAGGTTTAATGGATAGATTTTTTTAGTCAAATTTATTCGGTAATCGCTTCACACGCTATATTTGGAAAGATAAATAAATTAGTGGCTGAAAAATGCGTATGTTTTGATCAAAATACATTTGAAAAGTGTGTATTAATCATTTTACCCAACCCGCCATGTTAAACTTCCCTATCCCAAGCGTGATGTATACAACTTCCTTACTTCTCGAGTGATGTAAAGTTGAAAAAAAACTCACTCGGTGATGTAATGAAACCCATTTAAATAACATTGAGTGGATAACTTAAAAAAATATACCTCTATGGAGCCAACGACTTTCAACGCTAGAAATCAGCTGTGAGTTTGAATTTTATAGTTATACTTTGAAGAATTTTCCTAACCTAGCTTTTGTTTGTAAATAAACGTTACTGTTAGAAGATGAGTGAAATTTATAATGAAGCATATTGCTCTTAACCTCCTGAATATTGTCGGGTCAGGTAAAATCTTGTACGTTACACGTTACGCAAGAGCGTGTTTACATCACTTCGGTGAATTATGCAACTCGCCTTCGCTCGTTGTACAACATTCACCTGCGTGATATAAAAACGCTCTTACTACACTTGTAATGTAAATAGCTATTACAAAATAAGGTTGATATTACTACGTTACTTGAATACGTTTACTTGATAGCATTAAAATATTAAAATGCTATTTAAAAACTACTATTGTTTATTTTAACGAAAAACTTAATCAATATATATATTTTCAAAAAAATATTTAGAAGCTTTAGATTATGAGCGTTGTTAACGATGTGGAATTACAATTATATAACCACAATCCACGACAAACTATATAACCACTATTTCAACACCACTAAAAGGTGTTCAATTAAAACACAACACATTAGAGCAAATACGCATTCTCACTAAAATCATTATATTAAAATTAAAATTAACATTTGTAGAATTGTTTAGTTTCCTCCAATTTTTATAATGTATGAAGTATTTTTAACAGTTTAACGTGATAGCGCTTCTAAAATTTACAGATTAAGTTTTATCACGTCATTTGAGGAATGTGAGAAATTATATAAACATTTGCAATATTATTTTACTTATACTCAGTAATATGGGATGGGTTTTAAACGCCTTTTCTCGCGATGTAACAATTGATTATTATAACATCGTGAAGTTTATTACCTGATGGCTTAGTGATATATTGTTTACAATTGCACTATGATTGTATGGCAGTAAAATGTATATCAGTTTATCAAACCTATCATAATAACAAGACAGACACAATGGAGGCAACCACCCCTTTTAGAATCTCTAGATTGTGGGGTAAAAATAAAATTACCTGAACCGTTTACTTAAATAACATTATAAATCATTATTAACCAAACGCCATATAATATTTTAAGTGTTGTTTATGTTTGGTTTGACCGAAATAGGTCAAGGGACCTGGAAGGAAACGAAGCTGAGAATGTAGGTTTATGAGGCCAGGCAATTCTGCCGTAGAGGGGTGGGGGTAACTTAGAGAGGGTCGTATCGTTCGAAGGAAGTGTCCAAGATTAGTTCTTTGTTCGAACCGTACCTTATGTACCATATGTTCACCTGCAGAGAATGGAAATTGAAGATAAATATTATTTGCTTTCCTTGACATCTGGTTATGTCAGTTTTTCAGGTATTGTTTTATACATAAAACTGTAATACTTTAAATGTGCAAGGACCATCTTTATATGTTAGTGATCACTAAAATGTAATATTCCTGTATGTAGATTCAACATAAATTACCTAACCATAACAACTTTAAGTTAAAACTTGTTCGTGAAAAATTAAGTACGACTGTTTAGTATTTTGGTATTCGGTGTTAGTAGAAGATAAAAAGAACGTATCAAATGAATAAAAGTATATTGTTACCTATGCATATACATGGGCCTTAATTTTAAACCGTGTTTTAAAATGTTATTTTAGGTTTTAAACGAACCATACAAATCGAGTTGTACGGTTTTAGATAGAATCTGTTGTAAATTATATAAAGGATACTAAGGAAAGTAGCTGAGAGTTTAATTAAACAGTAAATCATGAATTTGTTTTAAATTAATTTAGTGAAAAATCCCGTAGTTAGTAAATATGCTGTAATAAGTTAATCATTCGCGATTATAGTAGTACGTTTTCTGTGGTTAAAGGCATACAATCGATTTAATAGTTTTCCCTATATTAACACGTTTGAAAATTAGATTCGCGAACTAAAGACTTTATATTGCAAATGAAAATGGAAATAATGTTCAAGAATGAGGTGTTGTGCTGCACGTCTTGTATGAATATAAGAACAGCCTTTTGCATAATATGGACACGTTTTTAAATAAATTATTCAACTAGTCACTTTATTAAAACATTAATATAAATATTTAATTACTTTCAATTTATTGGCAAATTGAAAAAATAACTATCGAAACAAACATTAAAACATGCAAAAAGGTTAAGAATGATTTATTATATTCCTGAGATTTACTACATAGTTTTACTAGAAACCATAGGAAATACTATGTTATAAATACAATTTATTTATTAATTATTATCCGTGAAAGCCTTTTACAAAATGTAAATAAATACATTCTTAACATATTATATATTTATCTACAAACAATACAACAAAATAACCCAGTGCTTATCTTAATCCCACATATTATATCAAAGCAAGAGAATAATTCATTGAATACTATTTCAATTTAGTAATTCTATTAATATAGTCTATAAAAAACATAGATTTATACGTTATTGTACATTTGGATAAAATAAGACACTGCAGAACATTGAATCAGCGATAGTCTAAAATACTTGTTTGTTAGGCTAAAAGATTTTATATAGGTACGTTATTATTTTAACATAAACTTATCCCCTCCCTACAAAGTATTTCTTTTAATACTTAAGGGGATCAAAGAGCAAGTTTTTTTAATATAACAAATTAATTTCTGAATCCACTTCCAATCTACCCAATTTCCAATTTCTGAATCCGCCACAAAACATGTTCCTCAGTTCGCATTTAAAACATCTGTCTAAACCCTTTTAATTGTGCGACTATCCCAAACGAATCACGTCATTTCCCACCCAATTGCAACAACTGCGCATAATTGTCACGGTTATATTGCTATGAGAATGCAGCAATCAGGTGACCTTGAATCAACAGGAGGCTCAGCATAGGGCAGGTTCCAGGGTTGAGGTCAACGCACTCTGACACGCGTGCGAAGGAGATCAATAAACTGCACGCGTCTCCACCCCAGCACGATACAGGTGGTCGCTCAGCTGTGACGTCACTGGGTAAAGGGGATTTGGGGAAACATTTTGTAAATGTATATATTTAGGCTTAATTCTTGATAATTCAAAAAAAAATTCTAGGAGGGCGTAATATAAAAAAACCATCACACTAAGTATTTGATTTATTTTATTTTTTGTGTTGTACAGAGTTGATGGCGACAAATGGGGATGGCTTCAGAATAGACAATTGTATTAGAAGCAGTATCCTTCAGATATGAAGGCAATCACAGTAAGCACCTTTACACCCGGAAAGATATTCTGGTTAGTATCTTCCATTGAACCAACAATATATAATATTATGATTTGGAGTGTACAGTTAAGAGCCTCAATCAGATTT